GATTAGGCTGGTCTCAAACTCTTGGGCACAAGCAATCCTCTCAACTTGGCCTCCCAAAGTGCTGGGCTTACAGGTGTGAGCTACCACACCTGGTCAAGAATGAATTCTTTTTTTTTTAATTTTTCTTTTTTGAAGCAAAGTCTTACTCTGTGGCCCAGGCTGGAGTGCAGTGCCATGATCTCAACTCATTGTAGCCTACGCCTCTCGGGTTCAAGCGATTCTTGTGCCTCCACATCCCGAGTAGCTGGGACCACAGGTGCATGCCACTATGCATGAATGAATTCTTAACATTGAAGTCAGAGTGAGCTTTTGAAAATACAAACCATGTTGCTCTCACGAAAAACTCAATTGGTTTGCAGATTTCATAACAAAGATTAGAATCTTTACCACAGCCTCTAAGACCCTGAATGGTGGGCCCTTAACTCTCCAGACTCATCTCACATTCTCTCATTTCAGCCCCTGGGACTCTGTTGGTTCTATCATGAGCTCTGTATGTGCTCTTTCTTGCTCTCCTCCACTTCCGCATGTAGTTTATACTCTGAGGCACTTTTAAATCTCAGCTTGAAACATCTCTTCCCAGAAGAAGGCATTTCTGACACCTCAGGTTAGGTCAAGTCCCAATGCTTTTATGCCCTCATGGCAGCACATACCTACACTTTGTAATACCTGTTAGATTTTAAAGGTACTTTTGTGAGATTGTCTCCCTTACCAGTTTCATGAGAAAAAGAAACAGCTTTGTTTTTGCTTCCCGTTGGATGTCTAGCATTTGCAAATTATCTAGCACATAGTGAGAGCTTAACATGCATTAACAAAATATATATCAACAGAAACTCTGGCATTCTAGCTCCTTAAGGGCAGAGATTGTTTTGTCCCTGTGTCAAGTACCTAATTGGGTGCCTGATACACAGCAGATAAATAATAGTTTGTTAAATAAGCTGTAATATGAAGGGTGTTTTTTACTCATTTATAGTAAGTATATAATGCAGAAAAACCATCACTTGATAATAAGTGATTAGGTGTTCATAACATAATTGATACCTATACAAAGTCCCAAATTTTCCCCTCTCATTAACCTTTCCTCAAGACTAAGATTGAACAAAGTAATTTACCCTTCATTTTTCTATGTTTATTCTCTGGTGGAGGAAAAGGTGAGTGCCCTGGGTAGGAGAATCCATGTAGAACTAGAATTAGCCATAAGTGAGATTTTGCACACTAACAAACCATAGCATTTTTTTTTTTTTTTGAGATAGGATCTTGCTCTGTCACCCAGGCTGGCTTGCAGTGGTGTAGTCATGGCTCACTGCAGCCTTGACCTCCAGGACTCAAGTCATCCACCCACCTCAGCCTCTGGAGTAGCTAGGACTACAGGTGTGGACCACCACAACCAACTTTTTTTTTTTTTTTTTTTGTAGAGACAGGATTTCACCATGTTGCCCAGGATGGTCTTGAACTCTTGGGCTCAAGGGATCTGCCCACCTTGGCCCCTCAAAGTGCTGGATTACAAGGCGTTAGCCACCATGCCCACCCAGTATTCTTGTTTTGACAGTTAGATGTTTAGAAACTTTTTTAAAAAGCCAGTCAAATGAGGATGTCTTGTATTCCTCTTTGTTTTCCTTTGATAACAATCTGTGAAAAAACTGCAGTGGTCAGAAGATGTATTAAAATATACACACACAAGCTGTATAATTTTGCAGGTTTATTAGGGCAGGATGACATGGAACAGTATGACCAGAGAAAGCAACAACCTTACAAATGAATCACTTTCAATTGTGTTGACCCAGATAATTTTAAAAATAAACTTGTAATTCAAGATGAGCAGCAGGACAAGCTTATTAACATTTGCTAATTTAGGAGAGGAAGGGCCAAGTCAAATATAATAGAAATGAATTATTGCAAAATGGAAACTTTTTGATATGAAACATAAAAATAAATTAAAAACCTAAAGAAGACTGTAGTGTGTCAATTTCCTGGTTTTAATAAGGTATGTAAGATACCAATAGGGTATTATAGGTATGTAAGATACCAATAGGGTAAACTGGGCAAATACTACACAGGACTGCTGTACTATTTTTGCAACTTTTAAATAATTATTTCCAAATAAAAAATAAAAAAGAGAAAAATAACATGAAAAAATAATAAATCTAGATAGGAATTCTTACAAGGAGAACTTAAAACAAATATACATAGTAAAAGACAGTTACATTGCCAGGTTTCCACAGACTTGTAAGGAGTTAAATAAAATTAGAAAAATGTTTCTAACACACACACAGACACACTTTTTTTTTTTTTTTCTTTTTGAGACAGGGTCCTGCTCTGTCATGCAGGCTGGAGGGCAGTGGCCTGATCACACCTTACTGCAGCCTTGACCTCCTGGGTCCAAGCAATCCTCCCACCTGGGTCTCCCAAGTAGCTGAGACTAACAGGCACATGCCACCATGCCCAGCTAATTTTTTTTGTAGAGACAAGGTTTCACCATGTTCCCCAGGCTGGTCTTGAACTCCTGAGTTTATGCAATTCACCTGCCTTGCATCCCAAAGTAGTGAGATTACAGGTGTGAGTCATTGCGCCTGGTCTAGACACACTTTACTAATAAAAATATTAGGCTTTCAAAAGTGGTATCCTACTTTTAATGTATGAACTAATGATCTTTCACATCTTAGAGATGTGTTTTTTTATTATTATTTATTTATTTTATATGATTATTATAATAAATTTATTAATTATTATAATAATATACACAGTATTATTGTGTTTGTGAAAGACAACTTTTGTGAAAACCACAAAAATAAGTATTTGCTGTTAAGAAAGGAAAAAATTTATTTCTTGGCCTCATCAAAGAAAACTGAAGATTTTGCTATGAAAGTAACAAAAATATACAAATTGTACCACCTCATACCCCCAAACTGTATAAACAATCGCAAAATTTTCCTTCATCTATTGATACAACCCCAGAGAAGCCAGTCCTCACAGACCTGGGGGCATTCCCATGTCAGAATATTACAAAAAGATCTAGGAACACATACATTTGGCAGAAAGAAATCAATTAATGTGCAGGGAAGATTGCCCATGAAATAATTTATGGTGATGCATTTAGTAGGGCCAGAGAGATCTGAGTTCAATTTTTGGCTCTTCCAGCTACTAGTTTTGCTACATTAGGTATGTCACAATCTCTCTGAATCTCAATGTCTTTGTTACTAAAGTGGGTACAATGATACCCATATCTCAAGGTTAGTCCTAATACTGGAAGAGATATTTAAGTTCCTAGCACAATGCTATGTAAATAGAAAGTGATCAGTAAGTGTTAGCTACCTCCCAGTCCGTTTTCCCAGAAACACAATGCAAAATATTTCTGCTGGTTTGCATGAATTAAAACAAGTGGCTAAGGAGTAAAATTAAAAGGGCAAGAGAATCTAATGAATTATCCAGACAATCTTTCTTTTTTCTTTTTTTTTTTTTTTTTTGAGACGGAGTCTTGCTCTGTCGCCCAGGCTGGAGTGCAGTGGCGCTATCTCTGCTCACTGCAAGCTCCGCCTCCCGGGTTTACGCCATTCTCTTGCCTCAGCCTCCTGAGTAGCTGGGACTACAGGCGCTCACCACTACGCCCGGCTAATTTTTTGTATTCTTTAGTAGAGACGGGGTTTCACCGTGTTAGCCAGGATGGTCTCGATCTCCTGACCTCGTAATCCGCCCGCCTCGGCCTCCCAAAGTGCTGGGATTACAGGCGTGAGCCACCGCGCCCGGCCCTGACAATCTTTCTATTAATTATGTCGTTAATATTTAATACATGTTGGGTTTTTGGTATTATTCAGGTACTGCATCTGAATAGATCTTCTTCCTTTGTCTTCAACAAATTTGGCAAAATATGTCATTAATCATTTTATTCAGATCATAACATACCAATGTAAAAATCATAGTTTTAATGTTTACTCATGGCTCTGAGAAATATAGTGACATAGAAACAGTGAAAACGTAAAGAATTTGTTTCTCAAAGCTGATGGGTATAATTGTCCTTGTCTCTCGAACCTTCCCCATTAGTGCCACAGTGGCAGCCCCCATAAACTGTAAGGGTGATCAAGCCTTCTGAAATTGCAGGGGAAGTGGGCAGCACAGAAACAGTCCTTAAAAGGCTTTAGAGACAGGTGCTCAACATGGAATTAGTGGGCTTATTCAGGGGCTTCTGGAATCTGCAGTCCCTGTATGTAAAGTTGTGGTTAGGTGTATTTCGTGCCTTTTTTGTTAGGAGGCTCCTCAACTATCACTTCCTCCGAGAGGTCTTCTCTAGCCATCCTATCCAGCCAGAGGCCTCGTCCACAAAATCTTTTTCATCACTCTGTGTGTTTCCTGCAAAGCCTTACTACACCTGTCATTACCTTGTTTGTTTGCTTCAGTCCGTCTATTCCACTAAGGTGAGCTTTCCAAATGCACAACCCTGGTCCTTCCCCAGTGGCTTGAACCTGGTGGGCCTCGTTAGATACTTCCGGAATAAATGACAAGTCCGTGTCTATCAGATTTTTAACAGACTTTATACTCCTCCATCCATCCCGCTCTCCGTCCCCCACTCCACCTCTCGGGCAAGTATTCTTTTCCAGAAATAATTTTAAGGTCATGCGTCTTCATTTTTGAAGTGAAGCTTGGGCATTTCGACCACACCCACCCACCCTCCCTCGCATACTCGTTTCCTAACAGAGCGTTACTCCAGCCCACTTGCCCAAGCCCACCAGGCCGCAGGGTTTAGGAGCAACCAGGGTAAGGGCAGCCCTGAATCGGAACAAGTGTCAATTCACATTACCGGCACTGGTCCTGGTTCGGAAAGCCTGGGCAGGAACCGTGCGACCCAGAGAAGCCACCCGCCCAAGGCCGCCTCCAGCCTCCGCCCCACCAGCAGCCCAGGGCCCCGCCCTACCGGCAGCCGCGCCTCGCCGCCCTCCCTCCAGCTTGGCCCTAACGGCTCGCAATGGCGGAACAGGGAGGCAGGAGCACCGCCGCTTGGGGAACCTCACCCGCCGGCCCAGGGCTCAGCTCGTCGTCTGACAGCCCCGCGTACTTTGCCCAGCGGGGTGCAAGGCCGGCCTGCGGCAAACGCCACTCCCGGGCAGTCACGGCCACAACTGCTTCCGGGTGAGCGGGTCGTCGACCCTGTGGCCCCGCCCATCCTTTGCCTCCTCAGTCGGCCGCTCAGGCTGCGGCTCCTCCCGGGGCCGGTTCCCGCTGTCTCAGCCGCGGCGCAGAGGGCACTTCGGCCTGACCGACTAGCCGGCTGCCGGTGCCGGGAGCCGCCGCGTCCATCCCCGCCCGCCTGGCCGGGGGACCCAGGACTGAGTCGTCCAGCTGCGCCCCTCGCCCCTAGCCCCAGCGGGCGCCGGGCGGGCAAGCCGCTCTTCGGCCCTTCCCGGACAGCGACGCAGTCACAGCGCGCGCCCTAACCCAGGTAAGGGCCGCTCCTCCCGCCAGCCCGGTGGGAGCAGGGAGCAGGGAGTTGGGGACCTCCCTCCCGGCCTCCGCAGTCCCGTGGGATCCGCGCCGCCTCTGACCTCGGCTAGGGGGCCGGGCTTCCCTGGGGACTGGCCGGCCCCCGGCAGGCTCCCGGACTGGGGTCGCCCCCTGCCTGCGGCGTTCTCAGACATCCCGTCTGATTTCTAACGCTCACCCTTCCTCCGCGCAGGGGAAAGGTACGTGTTACTCCCACTGTGGGAGAAATTAAATTGGGCAGCTGTCCCTCCGTTTCGGGTGCCCCAGGCGCCTTCTCTTCCTCCCTAGATGCCACACTCCAGTTCTGTCCTGGGACGAGCACCCCCAGGGAACGGTGTCAGGACGGTGTAGGGCGTAGCATTTTTTGGGGAATTTTACTTCTTCCTTGACCTGAGCTGGAGCGCGGGTTTAACAGGCCCTAGCTGGGTTAATACTTGACTAATATGAGGCGTTATTGACACCCAGATTGTTAAGTTACAGAGCTCCAGTCAACCCTGCCTGTGAGTAACCGGCAGGATGCAGGAGGACCTAAGGAAACCCACTTCTTTTTCTTTCTTAGAGAGAAAAAAGTTCAAGTGTTTGCTTTACTTTTTCCACCGTGGGAGCTACAAATACAGGCTGCTGAGACATGACTAGATAAATATTGTATCCTAAACCTTAACTGTTAGTAGCTGGTTTTCTTTGAGTTTCCATTTAATAACTCAGCATTTCTAGTATAAACAAAAAAATTGTAGAGTGGATTGATTGACTAAAAATGAGATGTAAGGATAAGAGTGGTTCTTAATTTTTTTATGTTGTCATAGTTGGAAGAGAATGTGGATGCAGTAATGGAACAGAGAGGGAGAGCAGGGTGTGGATGTATAAGTTCTTAATCAGTGTTTAAAATAATATTTTTTCAAGATAACATTTTATTTTGGGGATAAATCTATATGAAAAAGTGCAATTATTGGAGAATGCAGTGTTGCAAATAGAGTTAGTTGGCAGGGACTCCAAGGTTGTTGCAGCACTAACCCTGTTTAACCAACATCATGCTCTGTTTAACAGATACAGAGATAATGACCTAGTATTATAATATACTTATGTAGAATAAGAATTTCGGAAAGTGTGATTCATTTCGAAGGTAGATCACTCACTTTGTGAATCATTGCTATGAATCTGAAAATTGAAATAGAGAAAAGCTAAGTTCGTGTCTGCCTAATGAGATGGCATTCTTTACTCATTTAGTAGAAAGTGTTGTATTATGTTTTGTTAGGTCTGTTGCTGGATATTTGTCATCATGAAGAATGGTAATGAAATAAAAGTTGAAGTATTTGCAGAATGCTCGAATTTAGAATAGTCTGTTGGTTTTTAAGTGATTGTTTTGGTTTTACCCTTCCCCCCACTTTTTTTTTTGCCAGATGTGGGAAGATAAATGAAGGGGTCTAGAAGTAAGTGTCAGTGGAAAGGAGAGCTACCATCACTAAGGTATGAAAATGTTCACTGAAAGAATTTGCACTATACAAAATAGTCTTTTGAGTGGAAAGCATCACCCATTTTTGTGATTCTGTCTTTAAAAATGTAGAATGAAACTACATGAGTTATTATTTAAGTTCTGTTCTAGAAGAAAGTGTGTATTGAAGTTGTGATTGGAATGGATTCACTTTAAACTAGAAATAGCTTTTTATTGCTGAAATGTAATTTGATCATTTTTGACTTTCAAGTGTTAAGTAAAATAAGGTTGAAATCACAGAGTTCTTGATACCCTTAGCCTTGTTTTTCTTTTCCTTCTGTTGGAGTTCAGCTGATTTTTTACCTTGATTTTCATTTATGAAGAACTTTACCTAGTTATAAAGTAATGGCAAGTCTGTCCTGTTGGTCTAGCTTACTAACTTCCTTTACTTCTTTCACTAAATTTTGACATCTTCTTTTACTTTGGATATCCATTATATTCAGAGTGTTCCCTAATGTTGCTTTTGATTTTTGTCCAGCTAATAGTGACTAAAGAGTTTCAGTTCCCTGTGAACACAGATTCCCTTTTGGAAAATCCCTTGTGGAAATCACCGTAACTGACAGTCTTGATAGGTAAATACGCAAGGGAAACCTTTCCAGGTCAGGATTTAAGTATCTCTGTAATGAAAGGAAAAGGTGATATGGAGAATGCATTTGGCAAAGTATTTCTGTCTCTCAAAACAAAAACAAATCTTTGTTAGATGTGAATTTAGCAAGAGGGAGGGAGCAATTTCTTGCAAAACTGTTTGTGGATTGTTTAGCCTGTTGCTAGTGTGAGAAGGAACAGAATTGATGATATATAGAAAAAAAAATAATTCTTGTAGTGTGTTGGGAATGTTGACGAGTATCATTCAAAACGAAATAAAATTCTTCCGTCTTTACCTTAGGATCATTATCCATTGCACCTGCAAAATAGAGGCTGTTTCATAGCTTTTTCCTTTTAGGTAGTTGCTTTCCATCTGGAACATCTAAATTGAGAGATGGTCCTTTAATGGGGAAAATGTACTACTTTGTCCAGTTTTCAAATAAAGAATATAATCTGTGATCATCATTTGAAACCCAACTTTTGGAGGCCAAGGCAGAAGGCGTGCTTGAGCCCAGGAGTTCAAGACCTGTCCTGGCAACATAGTGAGACCCTGTCTCTGCAAAAAAATTAGTTGGTTGTGTGTGCCTGCAGTCCCAGTTGCTTGTGAGGCTGAGGTGGGAAAGCCACACGAGCTCTGCAGTGAGCCCTGAAAGCACCACTGCACTCCAGCCTGGGAGACAGGGTGAGACTCTGTCTCAAAAATAAATAAATGAAACTCGACTTTTTTTTTTTTTTTTGAGACAGAGTCTCGCTCTGTCGCCCAAGCTGGAGTGCAGTGGCGCAATCTCAGTTCACTGCAAGCTCCGCCTTCCAGGTTCATGCCATTCTCCTGCCTCAGCCTCTTCAGTAACTGGGACTACAGGCGCCCGCCACCACGCCCGGCTAATTTTGGGTTTTTTTGGTAGAGACGGGGTTTCACCGTGTTAGCCAGGTTGGCTTCGATCTCCTGACTTCGTGATCTGCCCGCCTCGGCCTCCCAAAGTGCTGGGATTACGGGCGTGAGCCACCGTGCCAGCCAAGAAAACTCAACTTTTAAAACTTCAGAAGGAAGGAATTGAACAAAACTTACCTCGTAAAGTTTTCGGCTTATAATAAATTATGCTGGACTTCAAAGGAGTCAAACGCTAGGCTAAAAACTGGGTTGATCATGCATTATACTTTTTCATTAGTTCTGTTATTCATTTATTTTGATGGGGAGGTCAAGAGATAATTCCATTTCATAGGGAACATATGTATGCATTTGTTTTAGCCTAGTGGTAGGGAGCGCAGTAGATAAAAGTAGAGATAATTAGGGAGGGGGAAGAAATGGCATTATTTACTTCATAGGTTCAGTAGATGTTTATGGGACTTTTAAAAATTGATAAAACATTTAAAAATGTGGTATATGATGAAAAGAAAGTCTGCTTTCCACCACGAACTCCCAGCCTTTCCTTACCCCAACCCCCAATCCAAGCAACCATATACAATGACATATGTCTAGGAGAAATATACTGTATCTTTCATTCTTATCTTTGACCTATGAAGATCTTTTTGTATTTAGCACGTTTCTTACTTTTTTTTTTAAAGACTGCATGTCTTGCTAGTGTAGATGAACCATAATTTATTCATTTTCCATAATTTATTTTACCATTTTCTACTGACAGATATTTAGGTTGATTTTAGCCTGCTACAAACACTGCTATAATGAACAATTCATATATAAGTCTTTGCACTAGTTAGTAAGTGTCTATACAAAATGTATTTTCAAAGTGTGACTGTAAGATTGGGACTGAAGTTATGAAAAGTTAAAATTATTTCAATCCTATATTGGCTTTATTTATAATGGAATTTAACTTATTTCTTGGGCTTGTGGAAGGGGAAAGGAGCTCTTAATTACTTTGTATTCTTCATCCATCTCTCCATTTAAAAAATATTGCAAGTGTATTTTATAAGGTACTTGAAAACATTTGAGTGTCAGGTGATTAATTTTATTTGTATTGGTAAAAGTAGAAATATTGTGGTTTGAAAACTGTTGCTGTCACATAGAAGCATTTATATTTGAAAATAGTTAAATGACTACGTCTTATAGTAGGTTGATTGTTTCAGAATTTTATGACCAGTATCAATTAAAAGCATTGTGTATAGTTTAACTTCTTGCCCTGCATAAGTCGGCTACTATGTTATTAGTCAGGAAAGAAGTAAATAATCTACCTTCTCTTTTCCTTTACCTTCCACATCCTAATCTATACATGATAAAATAAACCTCTGTGGAGTTTGAGATCCAAAAATCCTTTTGCAAACCATAGTGCTATTGATGGATTACTTTCTCAAGGCAGGAAGTAGGTACAGATTCAATCTTTATTCTGCAAAGTGTTTGTAAACAGAATAAAGGAGGCTTAAGTTTTACATTTTAATGTTATACAGGTTACTTGTGGCCAGGAGGAGGTTCAGGATTCTTTGCCTTTTTGAAATGAGAGAGACACTAGAGAGAAAAAAAAAAATTACATGCTGAAGGGCTATAGTTTGATGAAGTTGGAACTCGTGAGTGGTAGCTTCCCTGGCGTGTGCCCAGGGTCTATTTTGAGACCTTGTCAAAGCTTGCCTGACAGAACCTACC